ATGAGTGAAATGGCTCCCCGTGACCTCAAAGCCTACTATGCTTTCAAAATCTATGGTGTGTGCAGGGCGGCGGTAAAAGCTGCACGGTGGGGAGTGGACACAAGACCAAGCCCAGGGCCAGAGGCTGCCCGGCCATCACAGTGTCTCCCCAAGGACTCCAAAGCCCAACGTGGTCCTGTCTTCCACCCACCCCATACCTCCCGCCTTCACCTCCTTGCTGCCTCAATTCCAGCCACACCAGCCTCGCTCCTTCTTCAACATGCCCCACTCTGTCTGCCTCCAGCCTTTGCCTCTGCTCTGTCCTCTGCCCAGAACACCTTTCTCCTGGCTCCTTCTTATCTTGAAGTCTTGGTCAAAAGTAGATCCCACCCCCAGTTGTTCTCCAACCCCATTTTATTTCTCTGCTAGGAAGATGGGATAATGCTGCTTAATTTCTTGTTCATCGATCTGTCCACTTCTTATTGACTTTCTCTCTGAGGAGACCCAGGGCGGCAACAGTGTCTGTTTAGTTCACCATCCGTTTCCTGTGCCTGGGACATAGTAGGCATTACGTAAATACTTGCTAAGTGAGTGAATGAATGAAAAGCAGGTATCATGGTGCCTGGTACAGAAGTGCTCAATAAATAACTTGAATGAATGAATGAAAATTTAGCATAGTGCCTGCCACAAAATAGGTGCTCAATAACTGATGAGTGATGAATGAATGAAAAAAAAGGTATCAGATTACCTGGCGCATCATACGTGCTCAACAAGTACTTGTTGAATGTACAAATGAATGAACTTGTCCCTGCCCAATTCAAAGCAAGACCCAGTTTACCTCTGAGGGCCCGGGGTTCCCTCCAGTGCCTCAGTTTCCTCCTCCGTAATACGGAGACGAGATATGCCCCTGCTGGCATAGCCTGCCTGCCGCCCGCGGTCTGCCTGCCCCACATCTCCATCCGTTCTGCCGTGTAGACTTTAACAACGACGACTACATCTGCATGTGGGACCTGGAGCAGACGGTGACCAAGCTGACGCGGGGGGAGCTGAGCGCCGAGGAGGTGAGCCTGGTGTGCGAGAAGGTGCTGGATGAGGCCGACGGGGACCACGACGGGCGGCTGTCCCTGGAAGACTTCCAAAACATGATCCTGCGGGCGCCTGACTTCCTCAGGTGACCTTCCTGCCACCCCCCACAGTCCATTTCCACGTGTGTCAGATCTTATGGAACTAGTTCATAGACTCCGTTTGTGAAAGTTCCTTCCTTCCTTCATTTGTGAGCTTTCCCAGCCTCCCTGGCCTCAGTCCCTGCCCCTGTGAGCCAGGGATAATTAGGAACCCCAGGGCACCTCCTGTGGGTGGTCAGCCCTACTTGCCTGAACACCTCGCAGTGAACAGTCTGCACAGCGGTATTTGGCAGCCCTGGGGAGAGTCAGAGCTCCCACTGTAGAGTGGATAGCAAGGGTTGCATGAGTTAGTGCAGGAGGTGGACCCAGTTTTTTGTATCTCCCAAGAGCTAAGAATAGTTTTTAAAAATGTATATTTTATTATTGATTTTTTACAGAGAGGAAGGGAGAGGGATAGAGAGTTAGAATTATCGATGAGAGAAACATCGACCAGCTGCCTCCTGCACATCCTCAATCGAGGATGTGCCCAAAACCAAGGTACATGCCCTTGACCGGAATCGAACCTGGGACCTTTCAGTACGCAGGCCGACGCTCTATCTACTGAGCTAAACAGGTTTTGGCAAGGATCATTTTTAAATTGTATTTTTAAATGGTTGGGGTGGTGGTGGTGGCAGGAATCAAAGAATAATAAGACGCCCTGACACATGAAAGTGACATGGAATTGAAATGTCCAGGTCACGCGATCGTTTTACTGGCACACAGCCATGCCCTGTTGTGTACATTGTCTATGGCTGCTTTCAAGTTATAAGGCAGAGCTTAGTCATTGAGCATTCCAACTATTTGGCCCTTTCCAGAAAAAAAAAGCTGGCTGACCCCTGAGTTAGTCCACAGAACAAATGTAGAGCAGTGCCTGGCACACAGTAGGTGCTCAATAACTGTGCTGTGGTTGCTGGCGTGGCTCTTCTTATTGGTGGTGTCTTTATAGGCACCAAGGGCTTCCTTTCTCTGCCCTGGTCCCCTGGCAGATGGAGACACGAATAATGACACTTTCTGGGTGTCCCACTCTCAGCCCTCAATACAGCCCTATGAGGGGGAGACAGCTATTATCCCCACTTCACAGGGGAGCAGACTGAGGCCCAGGCAGGGGCAGTCACTCACTCAGAGTCCTACGGCCAGTGTGAATGTGAACTGACTCAGAGATCTGCTCCCAACCCCCGGGGGACGGGGTCAGGAGAGCCACAGCCTAGGGCTTCTGGAGGAGGAGGCCCATCTTCCCATGTGACGTCTGGCGGGGGAGGGGTATGGGGGGGACTCCCCGCCGGAGTGCTGGGAGAAGGTGCAGGAGGGCGGCCTCTGCCTGATGACACTGATCCTTTCCTCTCTGCACACAGCACCTTCCACATCCGCATCTGAGAACATGGAGGAGGAGCCGGGCCGGAGAAGGGCAGGGCGACCCCTCATCCCACCGTGGAATCTGGACTCTGGGAATAAACACATCCCTGCCTTAAGCCTGGTGGATGGCGGGGAGGAGACCTGGGAGCCCACCTCTGCTCTCCCCGTGTGAGCCTGGGTGTGGCTGCACCCTCTCTGGGCTACTGACTCCCTGATTGAGAAAGGAAGAATCTAACTTCCAGATCTTTCCCCCACTGTGAAGGCTGGGGTGCTTGGCTGTGCGTTTGGTGAGCAGAAATGAGGTGTGCAGATGAGGCATGCTGTCCCACCCCAGGGCCCCCCAAGGACAAACCCTAGTCCCCTTTTTCCTCAATCCCTGAATTCTTCAAAGGGACTGAAGGTTTAACTACTTGCTTATTTATTTAGTTAGTTATATATTAATTTTTTTTATTGATTTCAGAGAGGAAGGGAGAGAGAGAGACATCAATATGAGAGAGAATCATTGATTGGCTGTCTCCTGCACACCCCACATTGAGGATGGAGCCCACAACCTGGGCATGTGTCCTGACTGGGAATTGAACCATGACCTCCCGGTTCATAGATTGATGCTCAACCACTGAGCCACACCGGCCTGGCAACTCTCGCTTATTTATTCAAGCTGCCAGGGGAGGCCTCTGCGGGGGTGCCAGGCATGCCACTCACTGAGACAGGCACAGCACTTTAACGTTTATGAAGCACCCGCCCCTCGGCCATCTCATTGGATCCCGGGAGGGCTGGCCGAGAGCCAGTCACACTTCATTCAGAGGGAACAGAATGACTTGCCCAAGACCACACCTCAAGTCTCTGTGGAGGAGGACTTGACTCCTGGCTCAGCTCACTCCAGATCCCAGAGCTCTACACCCTGTGGATTTGGGAAGCCCCACACCCACTCTGCCAGCGGCCACCCCAGGGGCCCCATCTATGGCCCCACTCAGTCTACACAGTGGTCATTTTGAGTGGGGCAACTGAGAGCAGCCCCCGGGACCTTCCAGACCCCCGCCCCCACCGAACCCAGGTAGCATTTCTAGAGAACCCACTCCCACCCTAAACTTCTCCTGTGCACCAAAAGCACCTAGTACTGTGTACCAAAGCCCTAGGATTTACATACATCCTACGGCTTTTCCTGAACAAGGGGAGAGTCCTACTCTTCTCCACATTTTCCAGCTGAGGAAATAGGCCCAGAGAGACCTAGTGACTCATCAAAGGTCACACAGCCGTGCAACCCAGGATTCCCCCTGCAGAGTCCGCCTCAACCACAGTCCCAGGCTGCCTCTCCATTTTTATTTATTTTTTAAATGTATTTTATTGATTTTTGACAGAGAGGAAGGGAGAGGGAGAGAGAGTTAGAAACATCGATGAGAGAGAAACATCGACCAGCTGCCTCCTGCACACCCCACACTGGAGATGTGCCCGAAACCAAGGTACATGCCCTTGACCTGGATCGAACCTGGGACCCTTCAGTCCGCAGGCCGACGCTCTATCCACTGAGCTGGATAGAGCTGCCTCTCCCTTTTCTAAAGCAAAGGACACATTCGCTTCTCCTAAAGCTGACGTTGGTGTGCACCACGCCCTCCACAAGTCTCACCTCCTTCGTTTGCATGAGAACCTGGGAGGGAGGCATGTCCAGAAGGGAGAGCTGAGCCCGGGTGCAGGGGCTGGGGGCGAAAGGACTCCAAATGACATGACCTCCAACCCTGGCGCTGACACCCAGCAGACTGTGACCATGGTGACCTTGCCGTGCCTCTCCTCCTCTCAGAAGCTGGCTCTCCTTTGAAATGTGCAGGAGGTGCCTACCCGATGGGTCTGCTCAGAGGCAGGAATGAGAGGGCGGGCTAACTCCTGATCCTCCATTTTGTAACTGGAACGTAGCCCTCACCCAACCAATCGGGGTCAGCCAAAGCAGTGACATCACCACCCCTATAAAACCCATTGATCTGTTGAAATTCTTCCTCTCTCCCACCACGCCATTGTTGGTGTAAGTGGGACAGAGCTCGAACTAGTCCGAAATACAGGTTTTCTGCTATTGCATCGGACTCAGCTCCCTGGTGGGCTTTGGGGATCACGAAATCTGGACACAACAGAGTAAAAAAAATCACAGAGTGTCTCGGGGTGGGACTGGCACACAGTAGGTGTCACAGATCCTTGCTGTAACTTATTAACTAATTCTTCTCCTCCTCCTTTTTTTTAAAAAAATGTTTTATTGATTTTTTACAGAGAGGAAGAGAGAGGGATAGAGAGTTAGAAACATCAATGAGAGAGAAACATCGATCAGCTGCCTCTTGCACACCCCCCACTGGGGATGTGCCCGCAACCAAGGCACATGCCCTTGACCGGAATCTAACCCAAGACCTTTCAGTCCACAGGCCGACGCTCTATCCACTGAGCCAAACCGGTTTTGGCCGCCTCCTCCTCCTCCTCCTCCTCCTCCTCCTCCTCCTCCTCTCTCCTCCTCCTCCTCCTCCTCCTCCTTCTTCTTCTTCACATAACCAGGCCCCCCCTGGCAAGTGCAGAACCAGACCTAAGCATCGTCATTATGACATTTCTCAGGCCCCAGCATGCTGGTGGGCAGAAGGCAAGGGGTCCGGGTGTGAGCAGCCCCTGGCACCAGAGCCAGGGCGAACCTCTTCGCTAGCAGTACCCAGGGGCGAAGGGTGGCGGTGGGCGGTACTCCTCGGGGACCCAGTCCTCCGGGGGTTCGGCCAAGCCCCTCGGCTCCGATCGGGACGCCTGCGAGGACAGGGCCCTCACTATTGCTTGGTGCCAGCCCCTGCTCTTCGGGGTCACCTCGCTCCAGCTGACGGACCTTGAGGCCTTCCCGGAGGCGTTCCCTCTGTCTCTCCGAGCCTGAGGCCGTGAGGGGCCCGCGGGGGACGCGGCCACAAAGGGGTCCGTGTAGACGTTAGTGTCCCAGGCCGCATCGGCCGCTCCGGGCGCTGAGCCGCGAGTCGCCTGCGATCGCCCGGCGTCCCGGAGTGACGGCGAGCTCGCGGTGGCCAGGTGGGACTTCAGCTGCTGCTGGACCTTCTTGCCCGTCTGAGGGAGGGTCTTGAGGTTCCTCCAGAGCTTCTGGCAGGCCTCCTCCAGAGGGGCCTTGGGGGGGCAGGAGGAAGCAGCTGCCTCGGCGGGCGCTCTGTCCATGGCTGCGGACGGCGTCCTTTCCTTCTGCCAGGGCAGCACGGCTGGCTTTGTGGAGGCCTGAAACCAAGAGCCGGTGAGACCTGGGCCAGCATCCCCCAGCACCCCGACTCTGCCCGGACCCTGGGACCCTCCGGGGCTCCACCCAGATGCCCTGGGGCCGAGAAACGTCCCCGGGTGAACCCCCAAACCTGATCTCAGGCCCCACCCTTTCCATTTCTGAAACCGGCTTCACTCCCTCCCCTGGAGGCAGCTAATCTTCTCTGTGAAGGACCAGGGAGCGAACAGCTTCCGCTCTGCAGGCCCTCCCGGCTCTCACTGCTCAGCTCTGCTGTTGTCATGGGAGTGGGCCCGGTTCCAATAAAACTTTTGGACTCGGAAATCTGAGTTTCATCTGATTTTCACGAGTCGTGAACTAGTAACTGCCTCATCCATTCGAGGACAGAACTGTCCCTCCCATCGCAGCTTCTGACGGCCTGGGCCTCGAAGGCCACACAGAGGCCGGCAGGCGGCCCTCAGGCGGTAGAGCTGACCTCTGGGCTCCCCCGTTCAGGCCAAGTGCAGGCCATGGGCATGGGTGGCAGGTGCTGTTCATGGCCCACCCATATCCTCTTTTTATTCTTTTAATATGTTTCTTATTGATTTCAGAGAGGAAGAGAGAGGGGGGAGAGAGAGAGATAGAAACACCAATGATGAGAGAGAATCATGGATCAGCTGCTTCCTGCGTGCCCCACACTGGGAATCGAGCCTGCAACCCAGGCATGAGCCCTGACTGGGAATCGAACCATGACCTCCTGGTTCATAGGTTGATGCTCAGCCACTGAGTCACGCCAGCCGGGCCCTGTCCTTTATTTGTTTGCTTTTTGTTGTTGTTGTTGTTGTTAATGCTCACCTGAGGATATTTTGCCATTGATTTTTTTTTTTTTTTCTAAGAGAGTGGAAGAAAGAGAGAGAAACAGAGAGAGAGAGAACCATTGATGTGAGAGAGGCACATCGATTAGTTGCCTTCTGTACAGGCCCTAAACAGTACTGGGGATGGAGCCTGCAACCAAGGTACGTACCCTTGATTGGAATTGAACCTGAGACCCTTCAGTCGGTAGGCCGATGTCCTACCCACTGGGCCAAACTGGCCAGGCCCCACCATATCCTCTTTGCTCCCAGCTCCACTCCCAAATGCCAACGGCAGGGACTCTGCCTGGGGGCCTTCTCTGGCCACCAGTGCCCACTGCGTCCACATGGCAGAGCAGAAGGGCCAGAGAATCAAATCTCCCAGGAATAGTATTTGACCAATGACTGGGGGAATCTGGAGGATAAATACCCCAGTTCCCTCACCCCTAAGTGGTGATAAAGGAGCGAGTAGGCAGATAGGAAACATGAAAACCTGTAAGTAAACAAGACTTCAAATTTTCGAGAGGTGCTCTGTTGCAAATAAATAAGGTGATGTGCTGGAGAAGGTGGTGGGGGGAGGACCTTAGGTCTGGAGATGGGAGGGAGACACTTGAAGAACTGATTGATGGGAGAAGCCAGGCTGGGAAATTTGGGGCAGAGCATACAGCACAGCACGTGCAAAGGCCCTGACGATGCTTGAAGCTGGGCTGGTGATGGGCAGAAGGAGGAACTCGGCCTGCCGTCAGGATTTTAACCTTGGTGCCTTGGGAAATCACTGGAAGGTTTTAAGCTCAGAGCTACAGGGTCTTATCTTCCTTCTAAAAGCCCCTGGCAGCTGTTGGCCACCTCTGCTCCGGCCCCTCCCCTGCCCCCGGCTGGAGGTGCCAGCGTCCTGTCACATACCTCCTTGGGGGCAGCCACTGGACGGGAAGAAGGTTTCTGATGTTCCCGGGGACCAGGGGCGGGGCTGGCAGCTTCCTCAGCCAGTGCCTCGTAGTGAAGGAAGAGATCCTCGTAGTCCACGTTCTCTGGATCCTTCTGCGGACAGAGGGGACCTGCAGCTCAGCCCCATGGAGGGGACGGGGGCGGGGCTGGGGTCCCCAGACCCTGGGAGTTGGAGCTCAGAAGCTGCTTCCACCCACAAACCTATAACAAAGCCTGCTCCGCTGAGCGCACTGTGGGCCTAGGCCCTGCCCGTAAACCCTTATCAGGAGGTCTGCCCCTCTGAGGCTTATGCTAGTCCTATAGGTCAGCTAGGGCCGTGGTCCGCAAACTGTGGCTCTCTGGCCCCTCGAGTGTGGCTCTTCCACAAAATACCACGGCCTGGGCGAGTCTATTTTGAAGAAGTGGCGTTAGAAGAAGTTTAAGTGTAAAAAATTTGGCTCTCCAAAGAAATTTCCATTGTCATCCTGCTGACATTTGGCTCTGTTGACTCGTGAGTTTGCGGGCCACGTGAAACATCAGCCTGAGGGGAAACTGAGGCCCGGGGGTAGTGGGGCCTTGGGGGGCCGGGGACAGAATCACAGGAGAAGGAAGGGGACTACAATAAGTGTGGAGGCTCAGCCCCTGGGAAGACAGCCACCGCCCCCCCGGGTCCCAGCCCTCACCTGCGGACAGGGCTGCCCCAGCAGCTCCCCGTGCGGCCTCAGCGGCCACCGCTGGTGAAAGGTGACCAGGGCGTCCAGCGAGGCGTGGACCTTGTCCTCCCCGGGGATCAGCATGCTCCCATCGTCCAGCAGCTTCACCATAAAGTGGCGGCAGCAGCTCCGGGCTCTGCGGAGACACGGCCGGGGCTGGGACATCCTGCTCCCCCCGCCTCCCCCACCCCCCCGCCCGCCCCCAAGTCCTTGAACTGGCAGCATCAGGGCTGCAGCCCGACCTCACAGGTTCCTACGTAAGCTTCTCTACTCGTTAGCCACGTGACATTTGGTAGGTGCCTCAGTTTCCCCATCTGTCATGTGGGGCTACGAAGACTGACCTCAGGAATCCTTATGAAGATGAAACCAAGGAACTTCAGGGAAAGCTTAGCTCCATGCCTAGCTAGGGGTGAATGATCAATAGAAATGATCATGAAAACGTCATCAGGCTCCAGCCGGAGGCTCGGGGCCTGGCCTCTGCTCCATTAATGAACGGGTGCATTTACGAATGGCCTGCGATGCGCTTCCTATAGGTTTTAATCCTCCTGTCAAGACAATTCATTTTAGCATCCTGTGTCTGAGAGGAGGACATTGAGGGAGGGGCAGGAAGGTGGAGTAACGTGTCCCTGGTCACGGCGTGTAAGGGGCAGAACCAAGCCTTGTATTGTTTGACTCAGGTGCTGAGGTTTCCCCACTGAGGGTAATTCCGTAATGGAACCGTTGGGTGGTTTGTGTGTGTGTGTGTGTGTGTGTGTGTGTGTGTGTGTGTGTTTTCATTCATTAGGCCTGGAATTCTTTCAGAAAGTAGTTTGGCTGAGACCGGTTTGGCTCAATGGATAGAGCGTCGGCTTGGGGACTGAAGGGTCCCGGGTTTGATTCCGGTCAAGGGCATGTACTTTGGTTGCAGGCATATCCCCAGTAGGGGGTGTGCAAGAGGCAGCTGATCGATGACTCTCTCTCATCGAAGTTTCTAACTCTATCTCTCTCCCTTCCTCTCTGTACAAAATCAATAAATTTATTTAAAAAAAAAAAAAAGTAGTTTGTTCTGCTGAGTCCTCTCACTGGGATTGTCAGATCAGGCTTTGAAGCCCCACGTAGCTGGACTGCCTGAGTTTCCAGCACATTCTCCTTGGCGGAGTCAGGGTGCTGCCCAGCAGATGGCAGAGGGAGGTGGATGGTTAGGGAAAGGGCAGGAGCCAGGCTCAGGCCCTCTAGCAGCTCCTGTTCTCAGACACACGGTCTTCACTACCACAGACCCCAGTCTCTGCTGGATACAGCCAGACCTGCAGCTGCTCACTCTTCAGCCAGGTCAGACCAGAACGTCACACCAGTTGCTCTTGAAACCTGTGACACGAAGATCCCCAAGCCTCTCACCCCCAGCACCCCTCCAAGGAAGCCCAGAGCCCGCTGTCCCCAAGCCCAGGCCTTACTTGTAGGAGAGTGTGTAGCCCACGTGACTGTGACTGACCCTGATGAGAAAGGATCCCAGGGGCTGCGACTCCAGCAGATTCTCGGCGTCCCTGGGAAGGCACACACAGGTGGGAGAGGCTGAGGGCTGGCTGCCCAGTGTTCTGCCCTGACCCTCCCAGGACTGAGCAAAGACCTAAAATATATTTTTTTGTTGTTGTTTCAGACTTTGGAATATTCAGGTGTGCCCCCAGAGGTGGCGAAGGCCTCTGAGGACCTTGGCCCCAGGGCCCACAGCCCCTGCCTGCCTTCCAATGCCTGGAATCCACTCAGGAAGGCACCTCTGGGTGGGTCTGAGGATGACAGGTAACAAAGCAGGAGCTGTTTCCAGATGCGTTTGAGATCCAAACCCAGCTCTGCCGTTCACTCCCGGTGTGACCCCTGGTGAGGTCAGTCCCTTGCTGACCTCAGCTTCCTCATGGGGACAGAACGCCCTCACGCCCAGGGCCGAGGTGAGGACAGACAAAACGCGTGCACCCTGAGAACTTCCGCGTGGTGCGTGCTTTCACGGTGTTCACTGTCAGCACACTTGTCCCTTGAACTGACCTGCCAGGTCCAAGCAGATATTTTCCCCCAATAAATATACAAGTTGGCCTTCTGTATAGTATTTTTGGTCTGAGGTTGGGAATCCATGGATGTGGAGAGCCTTGACCTACACCCTCTTATGGAGGGGACTTGAGCATCTGGTAGATTTTGGTATCCATGGGGAGTCCTGGAACCAATCCCCAGGGATACTGGGGAATGGCTGTAGTTAAATTTTTGAGGAGTCAAAAGTTATATAAAGGACTCAGAGTTGGCACCTCTAAACTGGATTACTATCATTGTTACTGTTTCCTGGTGCCGCGCAGAGAGTGGCCCGCTATGGGGAGCCTTTGGACCCGTGTTGTCCAGGACCGGGACCATTGCCCACAGGTGGCTACTGAGTGTTTAAAATGTGGCTGGTCTTGCCCTAGCCAGGTTGCTCAATGGTTAGAGCATCAGCCCACCGACTGAGGGGCTCAATCCCCGGTCCCGGTGTGTCTCATGACACATCAATGTTTCTCTTTCTGTCTCTCCCCCTCCCTTCCACTCTCTCTAAAATCAATGGGAAAAAAATAACTTTGGGTGAGGATTAACCACAACAACAAAATGCGGCTGGTCTGAATCAAGATGTGCTTTTAGCATACAACACACACCAGATTTTAAAGTCTCAGTACACAGCATAGGAAATATAGTAAAAAATATTGTAATAACTATGCAGTATCTGGTGTCAGATGGTTACTGGACTTACTGGGGTAATCACTTCTTAAGTTATATAAATGTCTAATCCCTATGTTGTACACCTGAAACTAATATAATATGGTATGTCAATTGCAATTTAAACATTTTTAATTATAAAAATTTTAAAAAATAAAGAGCAGTACAAATAGAGGAATATGTACTTGTTGAAATGATAATATAATGGATATGCTGGGTTAAACAAAAGATGTGATTAATATTAACTGTTTCTTTCTGCTTCTCTTAATATAGCTACTAGAATCTTTAAAATTGCAATGTATGGCTCATGTTATCTTCCTGGCATGCCCCAGAACTCAGAAACCATGTCCAGTCCTGTCTCTCTTGGCTTTTGCAATGTTCTCTCAATCTCCTAAGTGTCAAGGGTGGCAAGAAATGTTCCTTTCTCCATTTATGTAGAGCCGGGCCCTGGGGTGACTAAGTAGGTGAGTTTGTTCATCTCCTCAGAGCTCAGTTCAATGTAGAAAGTGCATGTTAGCCAAAACCAGTTTGGCTCAGTGGATAGAGTGTCGGCCTGCGAACTGAAGGGTCCTAGGTTCGATTCCTGGCAAGGGCATGTACATTGGTTGTGGGCACATCCCCGGTGGGGGGGTTGATGTTTCTCTCTCATCGATGTTTCTGGCTCTCTATCCCTCTCCCTTCCTCTGTAAAAAATCAATAAAATATATTGAAAGAAAAAAAAAAAAAAGGAAGTGCATGTTAGCCATATACCCGATAGACTGAGAGGAGTTCAGCCTCAAGAAGGATTCTGACCCTGCGTCCTGCCATCATTGATTGGTGATTCCTGGCCTAGTGAGGGGTCTAGGGGCGGCGGGTAAGGAGAGAGTTCTGTCTTGTGGCCACTTGTATAGAGAAAGCCAAGGTCCAGAGAGGGAAGATAACTTGCCCAAGGGCACACAGCAAGTCCGGAGGAGGCAAGGTTCAAGCCCGAAACTCCAAAGCCCTTTCATCTTCTTAACACACAGGTAGGTGAGCTGAGCGCGGAATTCCACAGTGGAAGCCCGCCCAGGTGGGGGGCAGACAAAGAGGGTGGGAGGCAGGGTGGAAAGTGGGGGTGGTCCTCACTCTCTGGAGATGGCGCCGTGGAACCACGAAGGGACTCCTCCTGGGGCCAGCTGGCCCACCTGTGTCTGCACGAACCAGGCCAGCCGTGGGGGCAGCGGCGGGGGCAGCTTTCGGGCCTCTGTCATGGCTTCCCGAGAGGGAAGGGGGCACCTGGGGGCAGAAAGGAGGAGAGAGAGTCAGGCCTGGTCCACGTCCCTGATTCTTGCAGCTCGTGGTGCCTCCTCTTTGGAGACGCCCTCCAGGCTGGACAGAGCAACAGGCTTGAAACTGGCTTGTGTTTCTTGAGCACCTACTACATGCTGGCATGTTATGCATGTTCACTTATCGATTTTCTCCCAAAAACCCTCCAAGGATAGTAAGAATAAAAGATTAAAAGGAAAGCCCTGGCCAGTGTTGCTCAGTGGATAGAGCGTAGGCCCACGCAAGGGTGTCTCCAGTTGGATTCCCTGTCAAGGGCACCTACCTGGGTTGCAGGTTCTATTCCAGCTCTGGTCAAGGTGCGTGCAGGAGGCCACCCATTGACATGCCTCTCTCACATCCATGTATCTCTCTCCCTCTTCCCCCCTCCCTTCTTCTCTTTCTAAAAATCAATGGGAAAAAAATATCTACAGGTGAGAATTAACTAAACAAAAAAGAATAAAAGGAAATAATAAGAATACAATGAGGTCAGAGTAAAAAAAACAATGAAATCATGAGAACAAAAGGGACGAATAAGAATATTATTATTTCGTTACTGCAAGTGTTAGAAAACTGTCCTTATAGATACATGCATTTACGTTTAAGAACTGGATTTTTTTTTTAAATATATTTTATTGATTTTGTACAGAGAGGAAGGGAGAGAGATAGAGAATTAGAAACATCGATGAGAGAGAATCATCGATCAGCTGCCTCTTGCACACCCCCTACTGGGGATATGCCCGCAACCAAGGTACATGCCCTTGACCGGAATCGAACCCGGGACCTTTCAGTCCCCAAGCCGATGCTCTATCCATTGAGCCAAACCGGTTTCGGCAAGAACTGGATTTATTTAAATACTAAGTAACGACCAATGTCCCTGGTGGGATGTGGAGACGTCCAAATGACAAGCGAACGCATGAAATAGCGGACACCCCGTGGGTGCCGTAACGGGGTGCCATGATGGCCTTAAACACCACAGAGGGGTGACCCAAACAGTTGCCTCTGCCACCAGTGTCACCAGGCGTGGGGGCAGTCAAAGAGGGCCCACCTAGAATGTGTCCGGTGCACGGCTAATTTACGCCCGTTCTCAATCACTGCAAGCTCAGGAACCCCTGGACTGGGTGAGCTAACGACACAGAGATGGGAAACAGAGAGAAAAACAGTGCCAATTCCCCAGTCTCACGCTTGTGGAAAGCCAGCAGAAAGGCTGTGCCCTGCTGGGTGGACCCTCATACCCGCCCTAACTTTGACCCCACACCGGCCCCACCCCCACCCTGACCAGATCTAATTGTTCAGCCCTGTGGAAGGTCACTGTTACCAGGCCGTTTCCACAGCGAGGGGCCCTGTTGACCAGCCCAGTCAATATTGACTTCCTCCTGCCAGAAGACCCATGGAAACACACAAACACACCCTTCGGGGAGCGACCCACAGGAATTCTGGGGCCAGGGAAAGGGGCTCTATGAAAGCCACGGGTAATAAGGTAGGTGACAAAGTGGTGAAGAGCCTGCAATCAAGGCCTGGGTTCAAGCCCCCGCTCCCCCACTCCGTGGCTGTGTGATCTTGGGCTTCTCGGTGCTTGCATTTTCGACTGCGATTTGGGGAGAATGATGACTTTTAAAAAATATATATTTTAGCCAAAACCGGTTTGGCTCAGTAGATAGAGCGTCGGCCTGCAGACTGAAGGGTCCCAGGTTCAATTTTGGGCAAGGGCATGTACCTTGGTTGCGGGCACATTCCCAGTGGGGGTGTGCAGGAGGCAGCTGATCAATGTGTCTCTCTCATCGATGTTTCTAACTCTCTCCCTTCCTCTCTATAAAAAATCAATAAAATATATTAATATATAATTGATTTTTACAGAGAGGAAGAGAGAGGGATAGAATTAGAAACATCAATCAGCCGCCTCTTGCACACCCCGTACTGGGGATGTGCCCGCAACCAAGGTACATGCCCTTGACCAGAACTGTACCCAGGGCCTTTCGGTCTGCAGGCTGATGCTCTATCCTAGGGGTGTCGAACTCAATCAGAGAAGGGGCCAAAATCTAAAATCCAGCCTAAATCGCGGGCTGAATGGTTTACTGAACAGTCATAAACTGTCATTGTGATGGAAACGCAGTGGAGTGCAGTGATGACAGTGCGGTGCGGGCCACATTGCAAGGCCTGGCGGGACGGATTTGGCCCGCGGGCCTTGTGTTTGACACATGTGCTCTATCCACTGAGCCAAAAACGGTTTTGGCATGAGAGTGATGACATTTACCTAGTGCTGTGTAAGCCCTGACAGTGTGTGTGGGGTTTCTCTTTTATTTATTTTTTCTTTTTTTGTAACGCGAGTGCCTGGCTGAAGCTTTGATTGTGGAGGCATCCATTTCAGTGATGGCGATCTCGGCAAACATTGCCAGCCACTCGCCGGAAGAGCCAGGGAGCCTCCTTGGTTTTAGCCATCTTGGTTGCTTTCAATAATTGACCATGTGGGCTACTTGCCCATGTGCACGCTTGCTCTGCCTCCGATCTCGCTGCGTGGCCCCAAGCGTGCCGTATAAATGTCCAGGTCCTTAAGTAATAAATAAACCTTTTATTTATTTATTTATTTATTTAAGTTTCCTGATGACTATTGCTTGAAGGGCATCTTGAAATCACAGTAAGAGCCATATATATTTTTTAAAAAGTCATCATTCTCCCCAAATCGCAGTTGAAAATACAGGCACAGAGAAGCCCAAGATCACACAGCCGCAGAGTGGGGGAGCGGGGGCTTGAACCCAGGCCTCGAGGGCTAATCCAACCACAACATTAGTATTGATTGGAAGAGACCAGCACAAGACACCTGTACGTATAATAAATGTCCATGAGTCCAGTAGCGACCCAGCACGGGGTAATGTTTACAGCACATGTGTCAAACACAAGGCCCTCGGGCCAAATCCGTCCCACCAGGCCTTGCAATGTGGCCCGCACCAAGGTGTCATCACTGCACTCCGCTGCGTTTCCATCACAATGACAGTTTATGACTGTTCAGTAAACCATTCGGCCCGCGATTTAGGCTGGATTTTAGATTTTGGCCCCTTCTCTGATTGAGTTCGACACCCCTAGTTTACAGGCTCGGTCTTTCTTCTATCTGGGAGACCTCCTACTGACCCCTCAAGACCCAGCAAAAATATCCCCTCCTCCATGCAGCTTTCCTGCCTTTTCCTTGAGATAAAACCCTGGCACCTTCTATGTCCCCCACCTTCCCCACAATGCTTGCCTCTGGCCTAGCCTTGCCTAAGGGAGCTGGAGTGTGTGTGTTTGGTTCTGTCTCTCCCATATGAGGGGTGCCCAGGGTCTAGGCCCAGGCTAGACCCTTTTTGGATTTTTCTGGGTCCTCAGCATCAGCACAGTGGAGGGTGCAGGGTGTGCGCTGATGAATAGATGGTTTAGTGATGAGTGAGGCCACACTGCGTTTCAAATTCCCGGCCCTGGCTCTGGAGCCTCCCACCTCCTCATCCCCTAGCAGCATCTCTGTTCTACTCCAAAGTGATCACATTCTCTCTATTTTTTTAAAAAATGTATTTTTTATTGATTCAGAGAGGAAGAGAGAGAGAGGAGAGAGAGAGAGAGAGAGAGAGAGAGAGAGAGAGAGAGAGAGAGAGAGCAATGATGAGAGAGAATCATTGGCTGCCTCCTGCACGCCCCCTGCTGAGGATCGAACCCCAACCCAGGCATGTGCCCTTGACTGGAATCCAACCTAAGACCCTTCAGAACACAGGCCGACGCTCTATCCACTGGACCAAACCAACTGGGTTTTCTTTCCCCTCCACACTGTTGCTGTTCTTTGCCAGAAATGCTCTTTTCCCGACGCCAGCTCCATTTTCCAATGGTCACCGCTGGTGCCTCCAGAAAATTGCTCAGCCTTCTCTGGTCCCACCAGCCCCATCACCCCCCCTGGCCCAGCCTGGTCCCCCTGCTCTGTCTTCTAGGACTGGGTTGGGGCTGAGACTCTCAGGGGCCCAGCCTCACCCAGCATCGGTGGGCATGTGGTTGACTGAGGAGTCCCCACCCAGGGAACATACCTGGGAGACCTCCGGGTGGCCGAGGCCCTCGCTCTGGCTGTGCCCGTGCCGCCTGCAGGTGCCTGAGTTTCAGTTCAGGGTCCACACGTCATCAGGGCGAGGCCCCAGGCAGTTCCTGTTTCCTTAAGCAGGTGAGCCCGGGGCGGGACCAGGACAACCCCTGTGGGCCTATCGCCCTGTCCACAAAGCCGCTGAGCTGCAGGGAGGGACACCCTTGCTCCACTCAGATCTGGACAGACCTTTATTGAGCATCTGTTGTGTACCAGATCCTGAGGGGACAGAGAGGACAGGCACAAGCCCCACCCAAGACAGGCACAAGCCCCACCCTCCCAGTATCTACAATCTAGCGAGCAATGACGAGAGTAAGAAATTGTCAATGTTGTTTCAAAGCCAACAGCAGGCCAGGAAGAGGAACTGAGATTGCAAGAACCCCCAGAGAGGCCTAACTGAGAAAAGAAAAGAGGTGGGCAGGGCCACCGCAGGTAGGGGCTCATGGTCCATGGTGCAGCGTGAGTTATATGGGGTATGGAGCTATACGGAGGAAGGGGCACCTGGGGGCAGGAAGAAGCCAACTTGATTGCGGGGGAGGGAGGGGAGGAGGTGTCGGGGGTGTGCAGAGAGAATGCATTAGGTAGAGGGAGCCACACAAAGGGCTTGAGGCAGGATGGAGCCTGGATAGTCTGTCTCACTGTGCACACAGGGCCACACTTTGACTTATGTAAAAACAAAACAAAAAACTAAACTAAAAAAACCCCAGCCCTGAATGATGTGGCTAAATGGTTAGAGCGTCAGCCCATGTACCAAAGGGTCATAGGTTCACTTCCTGGTTAAAAGCAGGTGCCTGGGTGGCAAGTTCATCCCTGCCTGCCACCCCCCACTCCCCAACCCCTTGGGGCACCTGTGGGAGCAATCAATTGATGTGTCTCTGTCACATCAATGTTCCTCTCTCCCTCTCTCTCTCTCTCTCTCTCTCTCTCTCTCTCTCTCTCTCTCTCTCCCTTTCCTGTCAGGGCACAGGTCCGGATTGCAGGCTCAATCCCCAGTGTGGGGCGTGAAGGAGGCAGCCGATCAATGATTCTCTCTCATCATTGTTGTTTCCATCTCTCTCTCCTTTTCCCTTCCTCTCTAAAATCAATAAAAATGTTTTTGTTTTTTGTTTTTTAATCCTTGGGTTAGGATTAACAACAAAAAATCCAAACCATTTGAAATTATATTTTATTACTGCATTGCATCATTCTCATATATTCATTATTATTGTATTATTATTTTTTAATTGATTTTAGAAAACTGAAACCACACACACAGTGGGCCCTGAGTATGTGAACCTGTGCCTCACGAATCAGCCAGCCCCAGATATATGCTGGCTGTCCCCCCCTTTCCTGTCCTGGGACAGGGGCTAAACCACTTCCTCCTCTCTCAGCAGAATGGCCCAGATCCTCATGGCTGAGCTTGGGGGTGGGGGGAAGGGGCCCTGTGGGCCTATCGCCCTGGCCCAGCTGGTTTAGACAGCCTCCTGGCAGGCTAAAGCTGGTGCCCTGACCACTCCCTGCCCTATGGGGGAAGGGGTTGCCTGCAGTCTGCGGTTCAACAGCCCCAAACAGAAAACCCGAGGAACCCATTTCTCACTCGCCCACTGTGTGGCCTTGTGTGAGTTGCTCAACCAACCTCTCTGGGCCTGCTTCTTCATCTGTGAAGTCACATGACACTGGCCCTCCTCAGACAGAGACAACCTTCAGGGAGGCAGCAGGGGGCCCCGTTAACAGTAATGATACCAGGACTCCTCACTGTGACTGAACTGGATGCCTTTGTGTGTGGCTGGGGGAGATGTAGGCTGAGGCTCCAGACCTCCCAGGGCAACCTTGGGCAACTCACCTCTCCACTGTGATTCCTCGTGCCCTCCACAGCCCAGGGAGCCGGCTCCTAGCCTCAGTGATGAGGGGAGGGGATCAGAAGTGCCGAGTGAACCTTGTCCGTTAGAAAGCCTGACCATTGGGTATCATTTGCATGGCGTTCAGCCTACAGGAACGTGGGGGAACGTGGGGCCTTATCAGTCCACCTCCAGCCCAGCCCCAGAAGGCCCCACCACAGAGGTCTGCAGCCTGAATCCCCCAACCTGCTTGGCACATGTGGTCTCCCACAAACTAACATCCTCCCCTGAGAATGTCACATCAGAATCCCCCCCCACACCACCACCACCTCCCCTAGCTCTCAGCAACCACTGGAAACCGAATGGACAAGTGGTCCCCAGAGGACCTTCTGGAAGGGGACCAGCAGGGAGATCTGGGCTGGGATGCCGAAGCCCCTTCCCCTAAACACTGGGTTTGGACCTTTCACTGGCAGCCTCAGCTGGTGAGTGGGGTTGTCTCAGCTCGTGTGGGGTGGTGGCCTCCGGGGAAGTGGCCACAATGCCACTTGGCCACAGATGTCAGGGGTGGGCAAGCCAGGCTCGTGGAGCTTCCATGGGAGGGGGGCGGGGGGGAGAGACAAGTTGGCCGTGAGCCGTGTATTTCCACAGATGCTCTGATGATGAGGTGGGAGGAGGGAAGGGCACAGGGGGCTGTGCAGATGTCAGAGGACTGCCAGGCCGCGGGTGCAGCAGGGGCAAAGGCGCCAGGGCATGGCGAGCACGGGGTGAGGTGGGAGAGTAAGGCACAGGGGGGCTGGGGTGAGGTGAGCCAGGGGAGGGTGGTAGAGAAAAGGGAAGAGGTGGGCAGGGCCACCATGTGCAGGGGCTGGTGGCCCATGGTGCAGTGTGAGGTATATGAGTCTGGAGCTCAGACTGGTGCCCAGAGATGTCACCAGCACGCCTGAAGGCTGGCCATTGGCTGGAATGCAGGAACTTGGCTGGTTGTGTTCCCTGTGCCAAAATAAAACCTTCTCACAACCATGCCTACATGTTCGTACAATGCGGTTTATGCTGAATGCCTGCTTTCTCTGCAGGCTGCTGCAATTCTGGTCCATGCCTCTCCCCGGAGGTGCCTCCATGACCAGCCCCGGTAAAACCCTGGGTGCTGAGTCTCCAAGGAGCGCCCTGGCAGCTAACACTTCACACTCCTCACAGCTTGGCGACGGAGAAGTGTGACCCCACGCCCAGAGGTCTCCTCGAAGCTTGTGACTGGTTTCCTCCGGACGTGGCTCCACGCGCCTCTTCCTGGGCCCCTTTCCCGGGCCCTTTGGCTGTAATACATTAGCCATAAGCCAAGTCCCAGGGAACCAGCGACCCCAACGGACAAGAAACCCAGTGGGGCCATCTAGAGAAGGGGCAGATGGGGGCCATGTGCCAGAAGCTGGGGCAGCAGGATGGCAGGGATGGGAGAGGCTGCTCCCGAGGTGAGAAAGGAGCCTCAGAGCTGAGTGTGTAACTTGGCAGATGGATGCCCACAGAGACCAGACGAGAGAATCTAGTGACAGTGTGGGGGCTACTGTTGGCAAGCAGGTTCGGCATGGGATGTGGAAAACCAAGTGGTGCAGAGAATAGGGTCTCCTGTTTTTCTATGGGGTCGGGGTAGGAAGCTTTATTTCCCATGCCAGCCTTTGGATAATGGGGTCATCTCAGAGCATGGGGCACACAGCACCTCCACTTGGATCCTGCCCGGATCCGAGGCCCCCGCTGGCCTGGGCTGTTTTACGTAACAGGCTTTCTGCCAATCTACCACCCAACGCCGGGCCACACCTGTCTACCCACAGAGAACTGTGGATATAAAATCTGAGAACTTTAAAATGAGCTTTAACTTGTTTTCCTTAAGTGTGTTTATTGATGTAAACAGCATATTAAGAGATTCCAGGAACAGACTATGGCTGGTACATTGGTTTTAATTCAAAAAAGACATTTTGACGCCAGTGGCTTGGGTGGACAGCAGCTTGGGGTGAAGTGTAAGACAAAGAAATATAAAGGCTCCCTCGTGACACCCCTTGGACCTGGTGACCTGGTCTCAGATGCACCCTCTCTGGGAAGGCAGAGCTGTCAGAACAGAAGCGACGACAGCAGTTAAAAACCACCGCCTGGGATGCTTCATGCTCTCGGCCACAGCTGCATCCGTGTCCCTGTCACCTGGGTCTGCCGCTGGAAATCAAAGACGGAATCACTTCATGGCACTACAGATCTGGAAAAATAAAAATCTCAGCTAGAAAGAACGTCCGGTTTGGAGACTGTGGAGTGGGGGCTGTTTGGGGGCCGAGAGGCCAACGCCTTCATTGCGGGTGATTGGAGTGTGGTTGCATTTTTGGGGTCACCCGTAGGGTGCGTGGTGTCCCCTCGGTGATCAGACAGGGACTGCTGAGGCCCACTGGCCAAGCCTGAGGCCTGACTGAATTACAGACCAAAACCTGGTTGTGGACAGGCAAGGTCCTCCCCTCCTCCTTCCTTCTGCACGCTTTACACAGGATTTCCTTAATTTGTGCTTCCCTTTGGTTTGAGAGTCAAAAAGAAGAGGGAGGGGAGAAGAGAAACATAACGGTTTTTGTCACTTGTCCAAAACAGAGAGAAGGTGGAAGTGGGAGTCAGACGTGTCGGCGATGCCTCCTGGGCCGTGGGGTCACCGCTCTGAGGGGCAAAGCTCAGCCCTCCTGGAACCATCACTGGCCTTTGGGAGCCGTGCTTCTGCGCCAGGAGCCGCAGGCTTTGCAGTGGAATTTCCGTTGTCACGCCCCAGAGATGGAGGCCCACCATATTGGTCACGGTTGCTGGTCATGTCATGTCCATCTTTCTCTCCAGATACACGATGCATGGGCCAGTTTGGTGGACATCACAGGAAAAATAGCAAATTCTTAACTTATTCCATCTCCAAAGTTGAAAAAGATCAGAGTTACTAAAATAAACAATTTCTCAATTGTGTTCTGGTGGCCCTGGGCCCGGTGGCCGTGGCAGGGGCATTGGAGGGGGGCCCCGGCTGAGTGAGGGGCTCACTCAGGACAGGCACAGTCAGCTCGGCTGAGCAAGGCTCAGAGTAAGGCGGCGTTCCTCACAGAAGAACACATCGGAAAAAGCTGGTCTTCTTCTGCTGGTCCGGGGTGATTTTGACTCCCTGGTTGCTCCCCTGGGGGCTGTTGCCTTCCTGAAGTCACAAGAAGTTTTCTGAGGTTATGACTGAGCATAAGTAGTATGTCTCTTAACCAACCAGCCATCTAACCAAGGAACCAT